TTCTATAAAGCAAAGCCCCAATTAATGAGTCTGTACAGGATTTCAAAAGTCAAAGTCAAAAAGCCTTTATTGTCATTATATTCTGCAACAGATACAATGAGATTTGGGACTTCCATAACAGCTACCGTGAAATAAAAATAAAAATAAAAAATATATAAATATATTAAAAGGAAAAGGAAATGTAAACAGTTACAAAAAAAAAAAAAAATATATATATATATATATATATATATATATATATATATATATATATATATATATATATATATATATATATATATATATATATATATATATATATATATATATTAAAAGGAAATGTAAACAGTGAAAAGGAAATGTAAACAAACCAGAACAAAATGCCCTCAAGTAGTTGAACAAAATATATTAAAACAAATGTCCTATTAATCATTAATCTTTCTGTTATATGTGACCCCATTGGGTTGTGTCTGCTGAAACAGACTGGAATTTTGTTTTTTTTCCCAAACGGGGGAGGGTGGGAGTGTTGGCCTAGTGGTTAGAGCAGTGCACTTGTGCTCTGAGAAAGTTGCAAGTACCCAGTTCTATCCCCAAAGCCTCCACTCTGGGTCCCTGAGCAAGACCATTAACCCCTCACTGCTCCCCTGGGACCGCACAGGGGCAGCTAACTGCTCCCCAAGGGAATGGGTTAAGAGCAGAGTGAATTTCGTTGCTCTGTACTTGTGACAATTTAATGAAAATAAAGTTAAATTCTAATTCCTTATATGTTTGAAAGATTTCTATTTAATATATAAGATTTATAGATTTGTATATAAAAAAAAATTATCACATAAGTTAATGAATAGCCATTTATTGTTGTGGCAAATCGAAAACATGCAACCAGAAACCAATTTGTATTGTTTTTATCCCCTCCAGCGTATGGCCATATTTTCTTACATTCATACCCCTGTACACAATCCTGGGGATAGCTTTTATTGAATTATTCATTTCTCATGTTTACACCAAGCTCAGGGTGTCCTGTGAGAAATAGTGCTTTTATCATAAACTACAACTGTTCATGCAGCATCTCATCTGTCAGATGGTTTTTGCTGTTACATTAAAAGACATTTTTGCTGCTAAATTAAAGACTGCAATTTTCTTAAATTGATTACACTTAAAGCTGTTTAACATGTTATTATGCACTGTTAAAGATAAAAATATCTTCAACCTAGAAATCAGAACTGAATTTAAAACATTGCAATTGTTGAGTTTCAACTCTGATAGTTTATAACAATAATCAGCCACTTTGCTGCACAAGATCAAAACATGAGGAATTATATGCCGCCTGTGTATTTCCATACTCTTCCAAAATCTTTACAGCTACTGTCAAGATACAAACAATTGGTTCTTTGAAGAGCAACTGGGTAAAAGTTTGCTAATATTCATTTGTTTTGGCGGCCCCAATTTGAATCCATCAAACAGCCATATTTAGTTTAATTTTTGAAAGTCTGACTGCTGGGGAACAGCGTTTTCTACTTTCCTTTCACCTTATTAATTTTCTCCCTGCTTATATGCACTCCATGATCTGCAACTGTGCAAAACTAAATATAATATTTTAAAAAAAACCTTGAGGCATTTCCTGCTGCATATTTGAATCATGGCTTTAAGTATTGGAGACTTGAAGTTGCTGAAGAGGGCTTTCATTTACTCCAACCACATATATATTGATGTGCCCAAAGCCACAATCAAATTATAAAAGAGTTGCCATTTTTGGTTAGCTTTGCCCTTGTCCCTGTTTCTTAGATTAGATTAAATGTAATCCTGAGTACTATAATTTTGTAAACACAGGGAGCCACAGTAGTGACAAACAAATATAATCTGACACAGTTTTAATACTTGATCTTATCTCCACCCTTTTTTCCAAAACCCACCAGACTTGCAGCTGTCCTCACAGGGTTCTTATCCTTCAGATTTTTGTCAGCAAACATTATTCAATGGGAAAATATGTAGGTCAATCTGCTTTGGTCTTTATCTAGAGCCACAGAGATAAGTGTCAATGTGATTAATATTTAATATCTATATGATCAGCGTCGGCTGTTGTCATGTTCAGAGTGTGTTTAGAAGCGTTAGAGGCGGTCCATGGGGGGATGGAAAGCCTAAACCTTCTACAGTAAATCTCTGCGTAAACTTCTCTGTTTTATCTCTTCACAGCAGCCCATTTGACTTTTCATGCATTGAAGCTTGTGTCTAAATCCTGCGCCACAGTCTATGCAGATTGCTGCTCTTTTATTTATGTGTTGCCTGAACACAGCTGATCCTTTGCTGTAATCCATTTTCTGGTGTTTACTCAGCGAGCGTGCAGCCTCATCCGAGCATGTTATATCACATGTCTGTTTGGGTGCTGTGGCACATTTCGCAAGTGTCAGGGACTCATGTGGCATTTGGATGGGGGGGACTTGTCTGTAGAGTTTGGCACATTTTTTACCATGGCAGTAATAATATCAACAACAAAAAAAAATGATTTACAAATCCACTAATTTGAATTTAGTGTTTCTGGCGGCAACAAGAGCATAAATTATTTAATTAGATGTTAAATAAATAACTATCCTAAATGTCCAATTGTAAAAGTTAATAGCATTATTCACATGCCATATTTTATCTTATGGATTAATCTGAAAATTCCAGACACTATTTAAGGTAAGACCTTTGATTCATATTTTTCTTTAGTAAATTACTAAGAAACATTTGAATGACAATGTGGAAAATATCGTCTATGTTTTTCTGCCATGAGCGAGCATTCATTGTGTTGTTGCTGTGTGGAAAGATTTGCTGTAAACACCAAGCTGTTGTTGATGTTAAGCAAAATATCATCTTTGTTGATATACAGTAGTTGAGAATGTAGATCCTTGCCTTAACCTTGAGTATAATATGATAGATTCAATGTCTAAAGCTATAAAACAAAGCAAAACTCTTACTTGCCCTCTCTCGCTCCCTGTTACAGACATATCTACATGTTGTAATTAATTGTTTCCTATAGTAAATCCTTTTACAACTTCCTTTGTATCAATAAAGTTCTTTAAAAAAGGAAGTTTAATGTAATGTTAAGCCACTACTCAGTCTCCTTTACTTTACTCAGACCAGCCTGTTAGCAGTAGCTGATGTCCAACAAGCATTTCAGTTGAAAATTGATATTTCATGTTTTCTGCTTTTTTTTTTTTTTATTATATATGATTGACTGATGCATTGTTGAAAACTCTTTAAAGGTGCAGTAGGTAACTTGAAAAAATATATGATTTACGAATTAGCTAAAACTGTCATTATGTATTCAAAGTAAGTTAGGAGACAGATAATCTGAAGCGGTTTTAGTGCCTTTTGTAGAAAAAACAATGCTGTCCATCAAAAACATCCAGTCAGAAACAAAAGGAATGTCTTAGCAATGCCAATCACTGTCTTGTATTTGATGCTGAATCTTTTAAGCTCCAGATTGCTGCTAGACTGCAGCTCTGTGTCAATGTAAAGAATTTTGTTCATTCTCATTCCCTGGAGTTAATATGCTATAGCTGTTTATCTACCATCATCAGTAGTTCTGCTAACTTGTTCACAGCAGGTTTCGCAGTGGCGGAGGAGCTGTGAAGCCTGCTGTATCACAGCAGAAAGCAAGGGGGAGGGACTTTTAAGAAGGGTTTATAAAACAGATTGGCTAATCAAATTGTACTATTATAGTTTAAGTCGGGACATGCACATCTAATTAAAAGAAAAAATGTTGGACCCACAGCTGAACCAAAATAAATAGTGCTGGAGGACAGGAACAACTGCGGCTATTACATCTGCTTTGTTAGAAACCAAGATTTCAGCTTTGAAAGAGGAACAGCAAGAGAGTAAAGCGTAAGTTGTTGTGGCTCTCATGGCATCAGCTCAGAATCTTCTGCTAAATTTCCCTTCTTTCCCTGAACAGATTTGTTCAGAGGAGTCCTGAGTGGCACACATCATCAGTCTGGTTTACCAGATTGTTAGGCACTATCTGAAAAAAATGAATAGCTGTGAATGTCCAGAAAGTTCTAAAAGAGCCTGTTTCTCTCAACTTTGAGCCCTAGTTTGGATCTTTGCCACTCATCACCGTTCTCTTCTAGGAGAAAGTAGGTGTCTTGTTTCTGTGCAGGCGCAAAAGGGTCAAGTAAGGTGCTTCCTGGAGGATTGGCATTGTAAAACAGTTAAAAGCTTTAAAAAGTAGACTTTGCATGATAAGGTCTCTTAACATTATTGCTCCTGACGGTTTCCACTCCAAAGGGAGCTGTGGTCAGTGTGACAAGGTAAAGTTTAGTGTGGTGCATTCACTAGTCAGAAAAGTTATGATTCTTTTCTCTCTTATTGTCTCTGACCAGTTTGTCGCTGGTCAGGTTTGAAAACAGTGAAAATGTGTCAGTTTTGCTCATTAGCTGATCTCTATGCATCCCTAATGTAATTTTTCCTTTTTAATTACTTAAAACATTGGCATCTTTATTTGAATCCACCTCTTTGGCTGTCATGTATGGTGAGACTTTTCTGTTTGTTACTTTCAAACATGTGCAACAGCTCAGATCAACTTTACTGCATGTCTCATGCAGACTCATGCACATTCTCTAATGCTTTAAGGATTCCCTCCTCTGGGGTTTATAATTCTCTGTAAAATCCACCAATGAGCGTGATGTGTTGCGCATGTGTGATTCCTGCCTCTGAACATTTCATCACATGTGAGCAGCGCAGGCTGGCTGGATTTAAATAACTCCAAGCTGACAGAGAATGAGTTGAAGAAAAGAGGAACAGGCAAAAATAGGACGAGGCGAAGTAGTGGTCTGTAGCAGAGAGTGGCTCTGAGGAGTCGGCCAATGACGTGGAACGCTGCGCGCACATCTGGAACAGCTTGTGCAGCTGCACCTGAAAAGAAAGGCTCCTCCGTGCAGCCTCTGCTGACAGTTATTCCTTCCTCCTTGTGCTCTTTTTTTGGTGCTTTTTTTTTCCTGGTCTGTAATTCTTTCTCTCTCTGGTTACTGCCAGCCAGAGCGCTGGGAAGGTTACCCACTGTGCATCAGACAAGAAGAGCCTGTAAACTGATGCCAAAGAGAAGAGGAGGGACAAGAGAAAGACGGACATTAACATTGGAAGGAATTATTAGGTATGAGGTAGGAAAGAAAAGTTAATGCCTCTGCTATGAATGTAGGTGCAGATAAGTGGGAGCAGCTGAGGATTGCTGGAAAAAGAAGGAGGAGGAGGAGGCAAAGTGGGGATTAAGAAGTCGGAATGCGCTGACATTGGAGACCTGAGTTTTTGTTTGCATTTCGCACGGCACATCCTGTCACTCCACAGGTTTATCCACACATACAGCGACTTACCAACAGACACACTTATGTACACAATCACTGTTTGCTTTGGAGGATGATCCCAGGAGGCCATGCAAGGAGAGGTGAACACCTTCCAAGGAGCTAAGTTTCCTCCCACCTTGCTTCCCAAAAGTGCCCTCCTTCTCTCTACCCTCTCCTTAATTCTGGCCCTTTAGTCTAACCTGCACTAGTTTCAACACGCTGCAACTCCGGAGTCACAGACAACCATGAAAAACCTCCAGAATGCCCTTGGGATACAGCTGCCGTCACCCCGGCTGAGATAGACTGAGGAGCTTTCACTGGTTCACTGAGCTGCAGGATGTCTAAAGCCTCCCGGCTTGCTCGGCCCCCCTCGGCAGGAGCCGGATCCAAGCTGCCCTCACCGAGGAAGGAATGCCCTGGCACAGCCAGCTTGGCCGGCCGCAATCGTATCCTTAGTGTGGGAGAGAAGTTAATGAGGGCAGGTAACGATAGTGCTCTGAACAGACAGAAACCTTTGACTGGAACTGTGACTCAAGACAAACCACAAAGCGAGAACCAGACTGAGACTCTGGGCCCTACCCAGAATCCAGGTGAGAAGAACCCGAATGCAGAGATGGTGTCTCCAAAGAGCAGGATCAGCCCACCTAAAATTTCAAGTCAACAGCAGGGCCCAGTGCAAAGTAAGTAACCAAAAAATATGTTGTTCTCTGATAATATGTTTCTTGTTGTCTCTAGGTGTATTGGTACACTGTAGTGTATTTTCTTTGATACTTGATGTTAATATTCATATCAATTTAATGTTTCTAAATCATGGCTGATTCATTTAGTTCGAGATAATTTTCTGGTCGTGGAGGAATCAAATGTTCATTCAAGTGGCACTTCATTTTATTTTTTTACTTAATGGGTTGAAATATCATCCTGACTGAGATTATATTAGGAGATAGAATTGGATAAAATAATCCAGACTTTGCAACTAGAAATGAACAGAAGCAAGAATGTCATAATCCTGTAAATGGATATCAGCTGGAATTAGAAGTATCATTTTTTAATTATACATTTAAATGGTTAGTATCTTGTATTTGCTTTTTCCTTCTTTTACATTTTCATAGTCATTTTGTCATTGTTGAAAAATAACATTGATGAACCTTAAAGGAGTAACTCTACTGGTGTAGAGATTCACTATTTCATGATTTGTGTTCTCCAATTAATAAAATTAAATGTAGATTAAGTTTCTCTTAAATAATGAAACATTTTTCAAATGTACATTTCTAGAGAGAGAGAGAAGTCATTATTGTTCATGAAAGGAGTAGAAGCAATATATAAGATTTTACTAACACCGAGAAAAAACATATAATGAGTGGAGATAGCATCCTACTTTACCACATTATAGTAGCACAGTTAGCATTACTCTCTCTCTCTCTTTTTATTTTTTCAAGCACTTTATCTAAATCAAGCTTTTTTAATGTTCCAAATTCCAGAGTGTAAGTATGCTTTTGTATAATAACTTTTACTGTTTCACCTTATTTTGAAAGGATCTAATGAGTCAAGAAATGTATTCCAACAAACTCTATAATACAGATTTGTAAAAATACAGCTTTGACAATGTTTTTATTTTTTTCTATTCACTTATAACTTTTGTTTAGCATAATATTAACTAGACAGTTTTTAACTTTGTATTATTTTTCCTATGAATAACAACCAACCAACAAACTGTTCATGATAAGAACAAAACAAATGTCTCAAATGTATGTGTAGTCGGAGGGCGGGGCTAAGGTGTCACTGTTCCACATAGACATGCTCTATGGTTTGTTCTGTCTTAAACGTAAGAAAGTCAGACTCAGACAGATATAGTATTGACAAAATGGAAAAGACATTTCAGTACTCTGGCAGCCGTTATAATTAAACATTATTTACTATTAAAACGAAATAATATAATAATTGAAACATATGTATTTATAGTTATGGAAAAACAGTCCCTACCTGCCCTCAATTTGAAAAGCAATTTGAACTGTAGCTGTATTTGGCATCCCTCCTTTTAAACATGTAGTTTTTTTCCCCTTCACTTTAAACAAATCATCTATGATTCATATAGTTGATTTTAGGTCTTGCAATTGCAGCTTCCACACCAATGAGTGTCTTGGTTAGTTCAGTGGTGATTGTGTGATGTTTTTTTTTTTCATTAGTTGAAAACCAAATCCAACCTTTGAATATCTTTCTGCCAAGTTAATACAGATATAACTTCTGCCACTAACCGAATGTGCTGATGTCCCATTGGACTCTCAGTCTCCCATTAGTTTATTCTCGCCACATTCCCAACTCTGCATGGCACCAGTTTTCATGCTGTGTCAAAAGCCAATCTTCTTACTCTTAAGTTATATAAGATGAAACTTGAGCAAGACTGTATGTAAGTGAGGATTTAGTTCTGTGCTTTACATCAATGTTGCTGTTTTTGGGCACTCGACTGACAGTGAAGAATTTTTTTATGCACTGTAACATTCGCAGTCAGTCAATAATAAATCACTGTAGAGTTACGGTTTGAAGTCAAAGGCAGGGAACTCCGACAGGAATGGGGGTGATATAGATAAAGGCTACAAGGCGGAGTCAAATGGTAGAGTGACAGAAGGAGGCCAGGAATGTAAGCTGGGCATGCTGAGAAATCAACAGGTCCCAAGCTGTGTCTGTGTGTGAATCTCTCAACATGGTGAAGTCAGGTTAGGGGGGCAGGGGGCGGTTCTGGAAACCAGATGTGCTTGTTCTTCTCTGAGCTTCCAGTGTCGTCTTTTATAGAAATAAATTTTGTTTTTTTTCTGCAGAGCTGATGTCCTTCTTAAAAGCTGGGGTCAACCCCTGTAGGATGGATGAAACGTCAAACCTAGAATTTGTGATAAACCATACTTTGATTATTTCTAGTGCTTATGGACTTCTTTATTTTCTTTTATCTCCTTATATAGTTCTTTTATCCTTCGTCACTGTTATTCCTTTTGTCTTCTTCTTCTTTCTGTTTCTTCTGGAGTCACTCATTTCTTCCTATATCATCCTCCTGTTGTGTTATGACAGCAATAGAATCACTTATTAAAACATTTTTCCACCAGCCCCACATATACAACCAGGCACTCATAAACATGCAAAAACCATCAAACGGAATAAGTGAACTGTTCTCTACATTTGCCTCTGTCCTGCACTGCATACTTAAGTGAGAGTTGAACTTCAGTGGCTGTTCAAACTTTGCTATATCTCTGGACAGTAACTTTGAAGTTTTCATTTGAATAGGCAGTGATTCAGCAGTCCACTTCCTCAGAAACTTGCAATAGAACAGACCAGTTTTCCATTACTTTGATGTTTAAATATTCTGCATTGCAGTATCCATGCATAAACTGTTTTTGTTAATTTGTTTCTACTTATTATTATTTCAAAACTGGTTTGCTGTCCTGTAATAGTCAGGGTGCTGTATTATATGCCCATTTATAGCCCCTATACGAAGAAAAAAACAGAGGGTTTTCATATATATTCCTGACCAGTCATCTCCTGAACTAATGGCAGTTACTGGGCATGACGATAGCAACGATCGAAGCCCACAGGGTCAAACAGAGCTGTTACACATAGGCCTGTCAGACAATAAGTGTGTGTGACAGGTGACATTTCCACTGTGTGAAAGCTTCAAAGATGACTTCTGCTCACCAAAGGATTCAATTTCAGCCTTTAAAGTGGAGGTTCCCACCAAGAGGGAAATCTGTTTGATTACTCTAGACAATGTGTAACATTAAGCATAGGGTCAGGTTTAACATGTGTTAAACCAAAGTGCTTTTTTTTTTTTAAAGATAATGCAAATTGATTGATGTTATTTATTTCTTTGGCTCTCTAGTTGAATCAAAAATGTGCAAAAATATTATACTATAGGTGCGGCGCTGGAAGATGGTCTTATCTGCAAATTGGCTCCAAATCAATTTCTTCTCACTAAACCAATCAGCAATGGGTGGATTCCCCAAAGGATTAACTCTTTACTCCAAATTCAAGTTGTTCTTCTCCAAATGTTATTAGTTTAATTCAATAGTGAACGTGGTTTTGTGAAAAATAGAGATAACTTTGCTTGACAGCACCTGTCATGTCTTTTTACCTCTCTGTATAATCTTCTTCAGCAAAATCAGACAAACTAAACACTGTCATCATGTGGATGTCAATCACTGAGATTTCGGCAGATTTAAATGTGATGGTGTCAGCCCACGTCCACATATTCATATTGAGAGATATACAGTATATATCTATCAGACACCATTTTTCCAGAAATGGTTTTACCAAAGTTTAAACATGAATATGATGCAATAATTTTTTGCCCTTTTTTGATAACCATATTTTTATACTAAATAAACCTCAAGGTTGCCAATTCAGCCTATTAATTATGCAAAATGCAAAATAATTTAAACTTCTAAGTGTTTAAACATTTTCTTAGAACTTCTGTTTTGGCATTTCCCAATCTTATAATGTGTGCATGTCAAAGAAACACAGTCATTTCAAGGGATGTAGCAACTGGATTTAGATACTGGATATTTGTTGGATATTATCTTAAAAAAAAAAAAAAACAATAAACAACTTATAGATTATATATCTTTATGTATAAACAGCAGGAGTGAAGCACTCCACTCGCGATTCTGCTCCATAGACATACATATAAGGGTAAACCCCGCATTGACTGACGCGGAACAGAAATTACGGGCGCCATCTTGGGGAGGTCAACCTTTTACCCTAACCTGCTGCTTTAAGTAGAACAGAAGAAGGATGCCTCAGCACTGCAGCATATTTTGTCTGAATCAACAGACTGTTTACATCAGGGCTCGAGGGATAATTTCGTGAAGGCATCTGAGCTTTGTAAGACATTTCTAAATAAACAGCTCATATACACTACATAGAATAGAAACATAAAATAAAAACTCCCTTTGTCACACAATTGGTAAATTTCACTGTTACAGCAAAAGTGGTCGCACAATAATGGACCTGAAAAAGTGTATGAAAATAATAAAATAAGTGACAGAGTAAAAAAAAAAAATTTTATTTGTTAAGCACTTAAAAACAACAGCTGACAAAAGTGCTGTAAAAAAAAATAAATAAGTAAAACATTTTAAAAAAGTATAAATAAAAAACAAAACAGCTAAAACATGGGTAAAAATAACATTCACATAAAATGTAAAAAAAAAAAATATATAAAAACTAAACAAAAAAAATACTGGACTGGGACTGGGCCAACAAACATATACTACACTACTGGAGTACTGTAGTTGCAATGTTGGCAATGTGGCTGTACTTTTTGTCTAATAAAATGCGTTAAAATCGAGTGCAAAACTTGTTGTGCTCAAGATTCCGGACTAATTCATTTTTATAATTAGGAATATTTTTTATGTTTAAATTTTAATTTTATGTAACCCAATGTTTAAAGAAAAAAATGCAGTGATCCAGTTTTTTTTTTTTCCAATTCAATACCGATACCTAGACTCAGCGTATCGGACGATATCCTATACCAATCTGATTCAGCTGTTTAACAAATGAACTATATATCTTCCAATGTGAGTGAAGGCTTTAGCCTTGACATAAACAAGGTAAAAAGGTTTAAAAAAAATGACACAGATATAAATGTATATAAGCACAAATAATGGTTAACAGTCACTTGTAAAGTGTACTGGATTGGATC